CTCCTTAGTCATCACATTGTTGTTGTTGTTAAGTGCTATTGAGTCGGTTCCGATCCATAGCAACCCTGTACAGGATTTCCAAGGCTGTAAATCTTTATGGGAGCAAAAAGCCTCACCTTTCTCCCACGGAGCCGCTGGTCATTTCGAACTGCTGACCTTAACGTTCACAGCCTGATTCGTAATCACTACGCTACCAAAGCTTCCCTAGTCTTCACATTAGGAGTGACTGAATTGAAAGTTTGAGCAAATCTAGCAGGCCAATTTTCAAGCTGATAATTCTGTATGGCCCATGAATGATGTTAAAGACATCTAAATGGCCTTGGTAGAAAAAAAGGTTCCCCACATCTGTTCTAGAAGCTGAATATTGAGGTATTTCAAAAAAGTTACAGAATATTAAATAAAAAAACACATACAGACTGTATTCACATCTACACATATATATCCCATTCACACAATTAAGTGGATGATTTAAATGGGACTAATGAAGCAGATACGACAATAGTGATGATGTGCTACAAATAGGTGGCTTTAAACAAACACATTTATTTTCTCACACTTTAGGTAGCTAGAAGTCTGAATTCAAAGAGGCAGCTCTTGGAGAAGAATTTCTCTCTATGGTGGCTCTGGCGGAAGGTCCTTATCTCTTTTCAACTTCTATTTCTTGGTTCCTTGGAGATTTCATGTAGCTTGGCATTTATCTTCTCCATCTCTGCCTGTTTGCTTACTCAATATGCACTTAAGACACACTGTACATTAATATTGCCTCATAAATATGACAAAGAAAATAACACTCCCAAATGAGATCATAGTCACTGTATATTGTTGTTAGCGCAGTGGTTACGAATCGGGCTGCTAACCTCAAGGTCGGCAGTTTGAAACTACCATCCATTCCACAGGAGAAAGATGAGGTTTTTCTGCTCCCATAAAGATTTACAGTCTCAGAAACCCTGTTAAGGGTCACTATGTGTCGGAATTGACTCCACAGTACTTAACAACAACAACAAATATTGCTGTTAAGTGCCATTGAGTCATTTCCGATTCATGGAGACTCTGTATTGGATTTCCAAGGAATGGCTGGTGGGTTTGAACCGCCAATCTTGAGGTTCAAACTGACCTTGTGGTCTAGTGCTTTATCCTACAGTGCCACATCAGGACTTCAATCACAAATATGGTGTTGCTGGTAAGTGCCGTTGAGTTAGTTATAACTCATAGTAACCCTGTATAGGTTTTCTAGGAAGGAAGCATAGGGGTTAAGATTTACAATACATATTTTGGGAAGACACAATTCAATCCATAATAGGGTGATAGGACTGAGGCTCCACACCCTTCTGAGATCTTTCCTTACTACCCAGAAACAAGGGCATGAAAAACAGGCTTCATTTGTGTCCTGCTAATTCCTTCAGCATTATTACTTAGATGCAGTGTACAAATAAGGCAAGGTAAACGCAAAAGATATAAAGTTGATTCTCTGCTTTATGAATTTTATAACCCAAACACAGAAAATGTCAAACTAATACATCATTCAAGTGTATTTTATACATAGATGAACATGTGAACCAACTGGCATCCTCAGAGCCTTAAGGTAAATGTTATGTGTTGAATTACGTCTCCCAAAAAGACATGCTGGAGGCTTAACTTCTGTTATCTGCCAATGTAACCTTGTTTGGAAACAGGTCTTTGAAGATTTGAACATTATCAGCTAACATTAGGTCATACTGCCCCACATCAATCTGAGAGGTACCCCCTGTCAAAGAGGAGAAGAGACACAGAGGAAAGAAGACCATGTGACGATGAAGGCAGAGATTGATGCAGCTGCAAGGCAAGGAACACCTGGGGCTGCCAGAAGCTGGACACAGTAACAAAGGATCTTCCCCTAGAGCCTTGGAGAGAGAATGGTCCTATTGACATCTTGAATTTTGACTTGTATCTTCCAAATCTGTGAGACCATAAATTTCTATTCTTAGACATCAAAGCAATCAAACATGTTGTTATTGAGTGGATTCCAACTCATAGCGACCCTTTCTCCTGAGGAGTGGCTTGTGGGGATGAAACCACTGCCTGCACCACTGTACAACCATGGTGCCTGTCTATTCTGATGAGCTAATCAATTTGTAGTATTTTGTTATAGGTGTCCTAGGAAACTAATGCAGGAGCTTTTAACACACTTGCCTAGACAGAACAAATTACTTATACAATGAAGAAAAAAATTTTTTTTAAACTTGAATTTTCAGACAATGATACAAGAAAGAACTGACCCACTAACTTCCACACATATATACAGACATAAACATGGGTGGTGGTGGTTATGTGCTGTCGAGTCAGTTCTGACTCATGGAGGCGCTGTACTGGGTTTCCAAGGCTGTAAATCTTTACAGCCTCATCTTTCTCCCACAAAGTGGGTAGTAGATTCAAACTGCTGACCTTTCAGTTAACAGGCCAACTCATAACCCACTAAACTACCATAGCTCCTTTAAACTTGGGCAACACATACAAATGTTAGGCTGGAATGGCTGGAACAAACCTGAGCAACTTTCCAGCCCCGCAGTGAGATAGACCAGTGTGCTTTCTACTTTGCACTCAGGCTTGTGGGAACCACAAGCGCTTCTCAGCTGTCTCTATGGCTGCTCTTCTTCCTTACCAGGTGACAGGCAGCAGCATGCAGGGGGCGGCACTTTCACATCTCAAACAGCCAAGCATCTGCTTTCAGAGCCTTGGCGCCAGCCGGGGAGTTTTGCCTGTGTTTTTGAGCCCTGCCTAGAGCCAAAGGGCGGGAAGCCTGCCTGACAAAGCAGGAGCCTGAAACACAGGAGATTAAATTCACTTACATCTTTAAGAAGCTACCTGCATATAGAAAAGAGCCCAAAGGAAGCAAGCAAAGTGTTTGAAGTACAGGTTTGAAGCTCGATATGTATTCAGAAAAAAAGCTCAAAGGAAGCACACAAAGTGTTTGAAGCTGAGGGAAGTGACCCAGTGGGATTCATCAAAACTGTCATTTCCTCGGCATTCAACTAAAGCCTATCACTATCCATTAATTCCTTTAAATCTAGGCCTGGAACAGGATACAAAAGCAAGTACCTAACCAAGATCATCGGAGTCCTGGTGTGGTGCTGTGGGTTAATGTGCTGGACTGCAAGGTCAGCGGTTCAACCTCCCCAGCCGCTCCTTGGAAACCCTGTACAGGGTTACTATGGGTTGGAACTGACTTGACAGCACTCAACAACAACAACAACAACAACAACCAGGACAATTAATCACTATAACCATTTTAAAGTAATAATGTATTTTAGCTACAAAGGCAAAATCATCCCATATAGGCAGTGTAGGATATTTGCATTTACTATAATGGAATCAAGGAGCCCTGGTGGCGCAGTGGTTAAGCACGCAACTGCTAACTGTAAGGTGGGCAGTTCACCAGCTGTTCTGTGGGAGAAAGATGTGGCAAACTACTTAACTAAAGGTTTGCTGTTGTTTTTAGGTGCCGTCGAGTCAGTACCGACTCATAGCAACCTTATGCACAGCAGAGCAAAACACTGCCCGATCCTGGGCCAGCCATCCTCACTACTGTTGCCACGCTTGTGTCCATCGATGCTGCCACTTGGCCTATCCATCTCGTTGGGGGTCTTTCTCTTTTTTGCAGACCCTCCACCTTACCAAACATGATATCCTTCTCTAGTAACTGCTCCCTCCTGACAATATGTCCAAAGTATGAGAGACGAAGGAAGTTTGGCTATCTTGGCCTCCAAGGAGCACTCTGGCTGCACTTCTTCCAACACAGATCTGTTGGTTCTTTTGGCAGCCCATGCATGACACTTTCAATATTCTCCTCCAACACCATAACTCAGATGTATCAATTCTTCTTATGTGTTGTAAATCCTAACCCCAATACCTATTGTTATAATTCCATTTGGGGATGGGTTTCTTTTGTTATGTTAATGAGGACAGTTTTGGTGGAAGGTGTGTCTTAATTCAATCCCTTTTGAGATATAAAAGGAGACTAAGCAAGGCAGGACAATTGAGGTTAGATAGATGCCATGTCATATGAAGATCATCAAGCAGCCAAGTAACAAAGGTTAAGTGATAAAGCTCTTTCCCCAGAGTTAATATAGGCAAGGAGCTCTGGTAGTGTAGTGGTTACGAATCGGGCTGCGAACCGCAAGGTCGGCAGTTCGAAACTACCAGCAGCTCCGCGGGAGAAAGATTAGGCTTTCTGCTCCTGTAAAGGTTTACAGCCTCGGAAACCCTGTACAGGGTCGCTATGGGTCGGAACCGACTCAACGGCACTTAACAACAATATAGGAAAGAAGACTTTCCTCAGAGCCAGCACCCCGAATTCAGATTTCCAATCTTTAAAACTGTGATAAAATGAATTTGATTGTGAAAGCCAGCCACTTGTATTTATTTTTGTTATAGCCACTAGATAACGTAGACAGATACTGCTTATAAAGTGCACCCATTTCTCAGGGAAAAAAGCAGTGTTGGAAAATAGTTCAAGTTTCCGTTTTGACCCTTCTCACTTAAAGTGAAAGAAGCTCTGGTAGCATTGTGGTTACGAGGTGGACTGCTTAATCTCATGGTAAGCAGTTCGAAAATACAAGCGGTTCCGCAGGAGAAAGGTTTACAGCTTTGGAAACCCTATGTTGTTGTGACATGCCATCGAGTCGGTTCCGACCCATAGCGACCCTGTATAGGGTTTCCGAAGAGCAGCTGGTAAACTTGAACTGCCAACCTTGCAGTTGAACTGGCGCATTAACCCACAGCGCCATACCAGGACTCCTAAATATAAACTGGTTTAACTATATACTTCCTAAGTCTTCATTTATTTATTTGGTTTCTACATACTAATAAACACTTACAAATGGAATAGTTTGGTTAGGGATAGAAAGTCTGTAATAAATCAGAGTTCAGAGCTCTAGTCAAAACCAATGTCATTTTTTTTTACCCATTTTAATCCCAGTTCTACTGATTTACTCTTTTTAAATATTTTTTAAATTTAGACCTACCAGTAAAAACTGAGTGAACTCCGCGTATGTCAGGTGTCGTTTTCTTTCTTTTCCAAAATGTAGTTGCACAAATTCGGAATCCCAGTTAAAAGGAATATGTTGATGAATTGTGGTCTGTCCAAAAACTTTCTTAACATCCTCTGAAGAAAGAAAAGATCAACCAAAATAAAAGCAAGTCAGTGTTTCTTTCTTAGAAAATTGTTTACTAAATGAATATTGCTTCTTCTTAATAAAAAGTAACTCAATTCTGAACAAACACACAGATTATAAAGCCATGGCAGAAATTAAAGCCAGAATTTTCAAGGAATTGGTCAAGATTTTAAAGTTAATATGGCCACCAAAACAAAATAGAGGGGGAGCGGAAATCAAGATGTTAACTTATAACGAAAAGCCTAGAAGGCACTAGGAAATGACAACTGGTACCATCTGATTCATTTTTATTGGCATTTCTAGGTACAGCGGGCAGCATTCAATCTTTAGTGACAGTATACACACATACATCTCCCGACACCCGTTACCAGTTCCAAGGAAAACGGAATGCCTGTTGCATAGCATACTATTCATGCCTGAAATACAGCCCTTAATCAAGTTATTAACAATTCAGAGTTTATGGTGGATGGGGGACTTAGAAAAAAAATTAAAGCTCATATTCAACATTTATAAATCTCTAGTTAAGTTTTTAAAAGTGCCCAATGTATCAAAGCCACACCTAAAGACAAAGGAGATTGGAGAAAATACAAACAAAAAACAGCAGCTCAATGCTTTAACTTTGCACTACACTTTTATGACTTTAAGGAAATTCTCAAAGTGTTCAAATAATCACATTTCAAAAATGGGTTACTGAATAGACTAGTATCATCACCTCTTCTTAACCTCTATCACAAAACTGCAAGAGGACTCAGAGAAAGAATACAAAAACATGACTTTTTAAAAGCTTAATTTTTTAATTTACTAGAAATCATTATTGCACTGATGAATATTTTTCCTGGTCTTCACATCTTTAAACCACAACTTATTTATATGAGCAAACTGTGCCTAATACCCATTCCCCACTTTTTGCTTCTGTTTAAAATAATGACAATAAAAATAGGAAACAAAATTATTCAGCTCTTCAAAGGTGCCAAAAATCTTGGCACATTTCCAATGTTTTCCCCAATTCCTACTTCCACCCCCACTGGCTCCCACAAAGTTTTTATTCCAAGCTTTTAATGGTTCCAGAAAATTGTTAAGTCATGCCACGAAGAAACAGTAGTGCTGCCATCAGCAAAAGCCTGGGTGTGTATTTGGACAGAGAAAGCAGTAAAAATCACAAGTATGCCAGTCACAAATTTTGTAAAAGGAGGCAGGAAACCTCAGGTTGGCCCTGATGGGAACAATAAAAGTTCTAAAGTGCAATCCTCAATTTCCTTGAATTTTATTTTGCCTTCTCACCTTCAGGAAAAAAGAGCGAGGACTCAAGAAAAAAAATGACTCAAGGATTAAGATTTACGCACTCTCAAAACACCTGAGGAGAAATTACCAGGCTACAATTCAATAATAACAGCAGCTCACAAAAGCATTTCTTGAACACTTTCTATGTGCTGAGCTTATTCTAATGTTGTTGTTGGTGTTAAGTGCCTTCGGGTAGGTTCCAACTCATAGAGACCCTGTATAGGGTTTCCAAAGAGTGGATGTTGAGTTTGAACCGCTGACCTTGCTTATCCTACAGCACCACACCAGGACTTACTCTAACAGCTATATTTAAGTCCCTACTCCAAAGAGCTTGCTTCTCATGTAAATGCCTCCCTGAAGCAATACACTGAAATTTGCTCACTTTGAAACGTATGCGATCCCAAAAATACCTCTTAGTTATAAAAATGGACAATTCTTTGTTATTGGTGGTCTATGACTCATGGAAACCTTCTACAGACATATTTTGAAGACGTTTCAGCTTTGGTTTCAGACCACTGCGATAAAGCAAATATTGCAATAAAGATAATCACAAGCATTTTTTGGTTGCTCAGTACATATAAAAGTTATTTTTATACTATACTATAGTCTATTAAGTGTGTAATAGCATTATTAAAGGAGCACAGTGACTCTTTAGGATAAGAACTGTACACAAGGTCGGTGGTTCAAGCCCACCAGCCACTCTGTGGAAGCACCATGAGACTTTCGGATCCTGCATATTTACAGCTTCACAAACCCCCTACAGGGTCACTAGGAGTTGAAACCGACTTGCCAGCACTTAACAACAGCAACAGGCATTATTAAAATTTTTGAAATATTGTGGGAATTAACAAAATGTGACACAGATGCATGAAATGAGTACATGCTATTAGAAAAATGACTCCATTAGACTTGCCAGATGTACAGTTGCCACGAACCTTTCAATTTGAAAAAAAAAAAAAAAATGCAATAAAGCAAACTGCAATAAAACAAGGTATGCCTGTTTATAACAAAATGAAATGTGGCCTAATCCTGGGCTGTCTAGGAACTCTGATTATGTTTGAGCTCACTGTTGAAGCTACGGTGTCAATCCATATCATTGAAGGGTTTCCTCATTTTTGCTGATCCTTTAGCAAGCATGATGTTCTTCTCTAGTCATTGCAAGATGAAGTCTTGCCATCCTTGATTCTAATGATAGAGTCGGGTTATATTTTTTTTCTAAAACTGATTTATTTGTTCTTCGGACTGCCCATGGCATATTCAATATTCTTCACCAACATCACAGTTAGAATGGATCGATTCTTATTTCATTTTCATTGTCCAGCTTTCACATGCACAAGAGGTGATTGAAAAGATTAATAGTTGGCTCAGGTGCACTTTTGTCATCAAAGTAACATCAATATGACAGGGTGATAATCCTATAGACTAGTGCTACTCACCATGATCTTTTTAAAAGTATGTAAACATATATGCATATATGCATAAAAATGTATGAATACATATTTATTGTGTACAATTTCTTTACAAATAAGTTATTAGCCCCTTGAGAGCAAAGGCCAATTCTCCCAGTTTGGTTGGCATGGTGGTAGGCACAGAACAACTACTCACTGAGTAGTGAGTGATTTTAAATTAATCAGAAAATAGGCTAAGAATAGTGGTGCTAGCCCTATAAGGCACTATAATTTTTGCCTTACTGAGGAGGCAGTTCAACAATCATGTACCAATACTTCAATGAAATGCATAAGAATCATCAGTTTTGCTTATTAAAATCCCAGCCCTGCTCTTGGGGTTGTCGTTGTTATGTGCCGTGGAGTTGGTTCCGACTCATAGCGACCCTGTACAGGGTTTCTGAGGCTGTAAATCTTTACGGGAGCAGAAAGCCTCATCTTTCTCCCGCGGAATAGCTGGTAGTTTTGAACTGCTGATCTTGCAGTTCGCAGCCCGATTTGTAACCACTACGTTGGAGTCCAACAATTCTTATTTAACCAGAACCCAGTCCAGGACTTTCTGCTGCAAGGATCAGGACCTCATTTTGAGAGAGAAAATAAAATATGTCCTAAAGAGTTAGGGGAGGGTTAGACTCACTTTTTTTCCCTCATTTTTAAGTTCCCATCAAGACAGAGAAAAATATGAAAGGGAGTAAGTGGGAAAGACTCTCCAGGCCAGCCAACAGAGCCTTGTAAAGTAAAAACATGGGCCGCTGGAGGACCGTGGAGGATGTTGTACAAACCCCAGCAGTTGGCATTGACTTCATGGTCTATGTGACTGGTGTCCTCTGGAGTTGGGCAGTGTACAAACCATAGTCCCCATGATCAGTTCCTTAGGTGTTTTAACATATCAGCCATTATACCATCTAACTGTCACCTCTAAAGAACACAGTTTATAAGCACTGTCCTTCCTAGTCTTTTGGGAAGTGGAAAGGTGGAAAAAGGCATGATACTTTAATCTGCAAGAAATAATGAAACAACAGATCCAAAGAGTATAATATTAAGTGCTAAACTGCAGGGGGCCCTCATGGCAAAGAAAGAGGAGTTTCAGGAGGAGGGCACTTACAGAAGGGGGAGAAGAAGGCTCCTGAGAGAAGAGAAAACTACGAAGCCTCCAAGGACTCATTCAGATGAGCAAAGCTGAGACAGAGTATTTCCGTGGAGAGCAACAATAAAGGCTCATTTCTTTTGAAGTGGCTTTTGGACCAGCGTCCCTTGTACCAAAGCCACCTGGGTTTTGGGTCCTGCTCCAGGCAGGCACAGATGTTGGCACCTGCCAGCAGCAAATACTATTTTTAAACTCCCAAGACTTGATGCTACATTTATGATGCAGACATGTTTGCTATGGAAAGAATAATTGGTTATGAGACAATTAACTGGGTATGGGACTCTACAGAAAAACACACACAATCTGGTGTTGCTGTTTTACCACTTGTACAATTTCTGCAAAATTTTATTTTTTCACTCTTCTAACTTACCTGATTCAGACTTAGGTACTTAAATGTCATAGAGTGCCAAGCCATTCTAAGTGGCTAAACCAAATGATAAGGCAAAGATGGATGGAAGATTATTGGTAAAGAGGAAGCATACCAATATTTCTATTCATTTTCATAGTGAACAGACTTTAAAACAAATTAAATACTACCATTTGGAAAAAGTCACACATTTACCCTCCAAATATTGTATAGGCTCTTAAAGTCTTTGAATATTTCAAACTGCTTTAAAAAACTGTTCTGTAGTATTCATTTTCTGAAATATTATCTCTATATTTTCTTTTAAGCTTATGAACAGAAACATGAATCCAAAGGCACAATGAGTCCAGACATGAACCCCTCCGCTCTTACTCTCCCTCTATCACACACACACTTTGGAAGAAAGACATCTTAATACCATCGCAGATCCATATTCGTTTCTAGTTTTTAGAGGCACAAACAACTTTTTCCCTTAATGTTTTTGTTGTTTTAGATTTCTCTATGCCTTGTGCTGGAAAGGAAGAACTAAAAAAGAGGGGGAAAAAAGCAATTTTGAAGTCCACTTCTACTCTTTACTATGGCTTCTTTGGGCAGTTTCATGAACATTACTTGGTGGTGCGATGGATTGAGCATTGGATTGCAAACTGCAAGGTTGGCTGTTCAAACTCAACAACTATCTTTGGAAGCAAGAGGAGGCTCTCTATCTGCTACTGTAAAGATTCACAGTCCTGAAAACCTGAAGGAGAAGTTATA